TGCCGGGTCGTTGGCATCCGCGTTATCGGCGTAGTCTTAGGTCTAGTACAGCACAAGGCCGTGGGGTACGCTTACACCGAGCTCCACGACGACGAGGCTTAGGTCTAGTAGTGATTAGCTCGATCGATCTACGCCGGGTTCTAATGTTATTAAATCCTCTCTAGGCTTATGCTATTAGCTAGAAACATCTAGGTAAGTTATGGTATTTTTTTTACTGGCTGAGTAAAACATGCATTGATGACTGCTCGTTTTTGGTTGTTTATATGAAACTGTGTATCTTACTCCCTCCGTACAAAATTATAATAGAGTTGAGACACTTATTTTGAAATGGAGGGAGTACTATCTTGCAATGCTTTGTAATGACCAAGGCCAAGTTTGGTTGGTTAATTTGATCAGTTCATCAACGGTCGGCAAGTATGGTGGTTGCAATCATGATCTTGCATGTATTCAGTGTGTAGCTCATGGATGGGTTTGGTAAACCCCGTGAGTTTACTTGGGTCACATGTTTTGTTTTGCTCGTTTTGATTGCATTATTTGGTGTAACTAGTTCTTTGTTGCGGGGGGATCACATTGGTTATTTGACGGTCCTGTTCCGGTAATAGGATCAAATTATCCCCCAAAAAAGTCCCAAAGTTTAACATGGAACTTAACAGAAAGCCTTCTGACGGCAGTTGTCCGCTCCGCTCTATCATAAGCTAGCCTTTATAGTCTCTTCTCTTGAATGTCAAGTTGACAAAATCAATCGATGGCGACTGATTGCATGATCATGGACTAAGATGTTGATTACCTAAGCAATTCATACTTCACAAGGTTGATCGCCCTTCAGGGTCTTCAAGAAGAAAGAAGAGATTTTTGTAAACTCAAATCCTGTTTTGTTCTTTCTATATGTGTGGATATCCTCCATGGTGATTCACAAAAGCAGCGAACATGCATGAATGAATAATTTCTAGCAAACTGGCCAAGAAGTGGCATGCCTGATATCTTCGTGCCATTACTTTGTAAGTGATGCCATGATAAATGACCTAGATATGAAAGACATATTGCCTGGATATGTTAGATCCACTATCTAATACTCCACCCGATCCATAAAAAGTGTCGTGGTTACACTTATTATGAATCAGAGGGAGTATTAAACAGATAAGCGCTTTTCTGAAAGTTACTTTTGGGCTGTCACTCTTCCCCTTCTATGTATGGCGCAGCGAAGCATCCAAGCGGCGACACGGGTGGGGCAGTCTTGAGTCTAGGGACATGTAATTTTTTTTCACCCGTTGTAAGGCACGAACATATTTGCTAGTCCTAAAAAAAAGAATGAAAAAGAAGATGACAAGGAAGCAAACAAGAAGATGAAGTTGAATTTAATGATATGAAAACTTATTTCAAGACTCCAAAAATAGAAACGAAATTACCTATGAATTAGTACCAATATCCGGAATGAAAAGCATGAAAACATGCAACGAAAAAATAATTTGAATTTGAAAAGAAATTTAACCGTGTCCAAAATTGATCTTATTTTGAAGATTTAAATATCATGAATACTAATATCCAAACGGTTTGTCAATGGATATTTTGTTGAAAAGATATAATTGATACAAACTATGTAATCAGACTGAAAGGCATGGGTGGGTGGGATGTATGTAATACTACCGTTTTTACTTCAAACATATCCGCTAGTCACTTTGTCGTGAGGCCTCCTCGCTAGCTGTCCCACACGTCATAGAGGTGGGTAAGAAAGTTAGCTGGATTAAAGGAGAGAGAAGATACTGTGATGTATATGTTTCAGACAATATGTGGTATTGCCATAATAGAGCAATACATGCACATATCCCCAAACGAAATATGCGGCATCCCACAACTCAGTAGTAACCGGTGCCATCAGAAAAATCACTCTCGTGAATTTGCCCATTGTGGTTGTAGATGCTCTTAGCATGCACATGGCGGCGGGTCCGTCAATCTACGGGATTACCCTTTTGTTTGAGGGGTATCAATAGGATTATTAGGTCAAGGTTTTAAATAGCGGGTAATGTGCTGGTAGCGGATTGGGTTTTGAATACCCCCAAAATGATTAAATTAAATAGAAAAAAGCCCAAACTAGATATAACTCGGTGTTTGGGCTGGGCTCAGGTTGGGATTTTTAGACCGGGCTTTGTTGAGTCCGGCCCAACCATCCGGCCTGGTTCAAGGTCTACCTAAAGCCCAACCACCCCTCAAAAAAAAAAAACTAAAGCCCAACCCCAAAGGAAGGAAAAAAGGTCCCACTTCCTGCTGACCTTGGCTGCTACCTACTCCTTATTGCTCATCGGCGGCGACAAAATCCCGCACGATACCGGCGGCGGGCTCGCGCATCAATCCATGGCGCATGACCTCCTCGCGCCATCAGAGAGAACTTGCGCTCTTGCACGACCGGCCGTCCTCTCTGCCAGTACAGTCTCCTTCGGCGG